CCTCTGTTTGCTTCTACTTAGAACTTGTCCTAAGTAGCTATTCCACATATCCGTATCAGGATGAAACCTCATTGTAATTTCTGAAGATTCCTCTAGAACTTTCCCGCACTTCGGATGTCCTTGGACTTTCTTTAGACATCATTCTGAAATTAAGGGCACATACTTGGGTAAGGGGTGCAGCGCACGAGCTGAAGCCAAGTCCCTCAGAATCAGTCCTACCCTTTGTGCACGGTCTTAACAATCATGGGCATAACTGAGTCAAAGAGGGTTTGTTTATTTCATATTCTTTGTCTTTTTGGACTTATGCTTAGCCTTGTATTTTGTTTCCCTAAGTACGGATAGGCAAACCTTGACAGCATTCGCCCTTGAAGGTATTAAGAGGCATGGGCAGGGTGAAAGTAGACTTTCAATGATGACGATTGGTATTGATGCCAGGTGTGTGGGCCAAGTGTAAGCTATGCCATCCAACCAACCAACTCTTCTCAACCAGCGCTTGGCTTTATATTGTCTACAAACTGCAGGCTGTTCAACTCAGACATACCAAATCAGGCAAAAATCAGGAACTACAAGTGCTCATGTATAAGCTTATTGTCTTAGCTAGTGCACTCATTCATACCCACTTCATTTTGATGGGGAGGACTGCCCCCTGATTAAGTGTGATAAGCATGTGTGCTCAACACCTCACCAGCCTACCATGTAGTGTAATTTTAACCCCGTGTTCTGATCATGCAACTTGATTGGCACTGACAACGAAGATGGCACATTCATTGTGGGTGTTTATGGTGCAGAAGCCCTAACCAACAACTCCAAATTCCCTTGATGACTGCCTGTCTTCTCCTCTGGGCCATGCTCCATAGAGGTGACCATGACTTGGTATGTGGTCTTCATGTATACAACTACTGGCAGCTTTAAAATCATGGCTAAGGTGACTTTGGGATGCAGCAATCAAGTCAGTCATGCTTTACTTGCAGGTAACCTTAGTGACTTGCTAATACAAGTCATGATGTTGGCAGCACCTGCACAGCTTCCAGGCATGCTTGAGATTTGGAGGGATAGCCTCTGCACTGTCCTAGGTGTGATAAGGCAAGGAGGATGAGACACATGCAAGAGTGATGAAAACAGTAAAGACAAATCGTATGACTGTTGATGACAGCCATATATGCCCATAAAGGCGCTAGACATGAGTGTCACTTCTCACATGATGCCAGAACGACAGCTTTATGCCCCCATAAGGAGCTATGATAATGTGATATGAGAAGATTGTAACAAAGGAAATAGATACATAGAATGGAGTGAGAATGAGGTGAGAAGAGAACATATGAAGTGGAAGTTAAAATTGAACCACATTTTAAACTATCACATGATATTCCCAAATGAGATCATTGGATAATCACAAATGCAGCATCACATGATGAATCGAAAAATGGTGATATACTGCGAGAGTACTAGCACTGGATCTTATTAATGACTCACTGCGGAAGTGGGAAATTCATCAGATCATATTCCAAGGGAGAAAGAGTAAGTGAGTAGACACAAAATGAGCCTGGCTGCTAATCCGATGCAAATCTAAGGTATCGTAAATTTTGAAATAAAGCCTTTGTTTGGTTCATGACTACAAATGTAAACAGACACTTTTTGGACTTTTCCACCATGTCTTTTCTGACATCCATTTATTCTCTTCAAATACTTGCTGTTCCAATGCTAACTAACCCAGGAACTTCAATCCATTTTAATGTCTGCATATGATTGGATTTATAAGTCAGGTATTTTTTTGAAAAATTTCTTCAAGTCCATCATTAACTCACACTATGTCAGATGACACAAATAAGATCAAGCTTGAACTACCTTCAAAACTATGGATATTCAGTTTTACCTTTGAGACTAAGCGGCCAGGGCCTATGGTAAGTTTCAGATTTAAATACAACTAACTAACTAACTAAGTGCTTTTGTAGACAGTCAAAATCTCACTCAGATAGCCCAGATTACTATAAGTTCCTGAACATATTGACCTCAGTGTGACTGAACCTGAAACTCCTGACCGACTTTAAGTCATGCACTGGCAAGAGGCCCAGAAATACAAAGTAAGTACTATGCATTCTTATAGCTAGTTAGTTATGCTAACTAACATGCTTGGAAGAAGTCTGAAGCTGGAACTATGGTAAGTATCGATGCAGAAGAGACCTTCAATAGTAGCGATACAGAGAAAGAGACTCCAGCAGTGTTCACTCACTGGTATAAGGATAAGAAGACCATAAGTTTGTTTCTCTGTCTGCAATATTGGTACTTAATATTATCTATCAGCTGAATGACCTAGCTTGAACTCCTCTTGCTGAGGATACCGTAGTGCATCCAAAAAACTGTTTTGCACTAGAGCGCTTTATAGATAGTGTCCAAATAGGAAACAGGTAACACAGCAATGAAGGTGTGGCAGACACTGATAACAAAATAGAGACACATTAGTAAGAAAGTATAAGAAGTGTTCGAATGGCTGATACTAATAACCATGACAGGCTAGTAGATTTGGCTCTCATTGACATTCTTATTCCACGTGTCATTAGACACCTGCAAAAACTTTTATTAGTATCATAGACAACTGAGTAAATATGATATACCAAATTCTTAGCTTCCTCTTTGTATTTCTGAAAACAGAGCAAATAAGAGTTAGTTAACATATACAAGACTCAGAGCAGACAAAGATTGTATCATGTTCTGCTATAATCTTTACAATCTGCAGCTTCAAGGCCCTATACTTTTTATGCAAGGTCTGGAACTGCAGGATTTCAGGCACATATGCACCCTAAAATGTTTTTCTCAGCACAAAAACCATGATAGCTAGCCAACATATATGTTGAAAATGAGATTGAGGCACTCTAGAACCATCTGTAGAGAAATCTCCATCAGGTAGTCACTGTTCATGACATAGCACCAGGGGATAGGGGAGACACTATAAATTTCTGGCCCCAATGTGACATATTAAAATTCTGCATAGGACAATGTGAGTTATGTATATGATGAAATAAAGACCTCCAGGTGAAATTCATAGAACATCCACTGGCAGAAGAGTACATGATATTGGAGGTTACATAATATGTTTGTTTGTTTGTTTTTGTGTGGCTCTTCTGCATATCCCAAACCTCATCTTGCTCATATTGCTTCTTATGTGAGCTTTGATTTGTCACCCTGGTAGGGTGTGATAGTAGGTTCCTGTGTTTAAATTCATGTTGTTCTCCATGTATCTTCTATTCAATGTTGCGTTTGCTATATATGGTGCTGTAATTATTCAGTCTACCATTAATCAATTCTGAGCAAAAATTTCATGATACCTCATGTGGCTATTACTCCGGTGGTGTCAGAGATTGGAGGATTCTGAACTGCAAGTTGCACAAGGATCACATATGTATTATCATACAACTATGTTGCACCTCCCAATATATAGCAAGACATTCTGAGGGCAATACATAATTAATGGTACACATGTGGTTTGCAATGGCCAGAGTCTGGAATGGTACCTGAATTGCAATTATCACCCTCTTTTGAATGCTGATATATTGCTTAACTAAGGAGCTTATTGTGTACATATTCAAATTCCTGAGGAATAATATTCTTTTTCATGTAGTCAAGTCACCACTGGTGCTATTGATTTCTTAGGCAAATGAGATTGTGCAAGTATAGTGTATTGTATACTTCTTGTACCTTCACTGTCATGTGATCATATTCCGAGTCTTTTACCTCCTGCTCTGGTACTTCCATGGATATATATATATTTCACTCCTTACTAGTATGTTATCCTTCCTAGCTTTTATCTCTCATCCATTCGAATTTGTATACTAGGTGGATAAGCATATAGTAGGTAGACTATTTCAATGAATGAAGTATATGTCTGGCAATATGGAACCACTCCCTGATACTGCAGATATCAGACATGTTTGCTAGTATTGTTGCCTGATTAACACATGACCAATTTAAGCAAACATATAGAGACCAGAGAATGCCCAATACATCTATCATCAGTCTGTATAGCATCACTGAAAATGTATGCTCATCCTTCACCAAGCATTCAAAAAAACATTGATTGAGAAGATAGAAATTTCCCCTCATTTTTCCTGTCGAAACATTCAAAAACAGTAATTCATATTTCAATGATTTTCTGTTTGTGGGACATGATGCAAACATTGGACATGTTCCTTCAAGGATGATGCTATAATTTATGTTTTTTTGTGTTGCATAGAAACAACAACACTTATAGATAGAATTAGTAACAATGACCAGAGTAGAAGAGCAGAAATGTACAAGCATCATGGTGAGAATATTTAGATGACATCAAAATATCAGAGGGCACAAGAGAGGACTACACAGAGCCTAAATTCACAGAATGAGCAGACTTTTTCAGAGACCAGTAGCACAGCTAGAAGCAGGAGCAGCGCGAGGCAATGACTTTTGCTTAGCATATGCTGATTGGGCAAAAGGGTTAGTTTATTGGTATGGATAAAATAAGATGGACATATAACTTCGACACTTTGCTTCAAGTTCATCAAGTTCAGCCACCAAGGCAGTATCCATTTCAAGAGTCAGAGCCTGTTGCCAAACATTGTTGTCACCTGACGTACAGTTAGGAGGACTGGAGAGATTAGTTAGTTAATAGGAAAGGTCATCTCCTCTTCATCATGTACCAGCCGCCTGGTAGGCATTCAAAGCTATAGAGTACTGGAGTGAAGCTGCTAGAAGCACATCGTTGATGTACTTCCTTAGAGTAACAATGGACAAACTTGATGCTGAGCATCTTGTCATTAGTTGTCTTGGCAGAAAAGAGCAGCTTGGTGGTATACATTTAAAGGAGATGTAGTGTTTGATGACATGTGTTCATAACATTCCGAGAGAGACAGAAGAGCTTTCCTGAGCGCACTGACATGCCACACAATTATCATACACATTTTGGTATCAGTGTAGTGATAAAACAGAGGTAAAGCAGTCAAAATTACCTGCATGTTCAGATGCATGCTTCAAACAGCAGTTGAGAAATCAATGTGTGACCCTTTAAATTGTGATCAGTGCATCACAAGTTGTGGAATACTAGAAACCTACTGAAGAGTGTGATTGCTATACAGGGAAATTTAAATGCAGGCTTCTCCTTTGAGAAAGAGGTCATGGAATGTATATAATATGAAAGGACTTGCATGTGGGGTTGGGCCTTTGTAAACCCTATCTCATTCTTGACTTCAGCAATTGCATAGTGGAAGCCTTTGTACTGCATATCACTATCAGTGGTGTAGTTGCTGCTGTCAATTGTTATGGCCCTTAGGTCGATGTTGCGCTGCTGCAAGAGTTTATGGAATTTGAAAGCTTGTTCTGTCTCATTTGTGAAGAAGCCAGACATAGTCACTAACAGTACCATGACCAGCTTATTATCATCTTGTTGGCTTGTGATTTTCACAGTCGTCCATGAATGCACCAAAGATTAGATGAAGTAGCATGCTAGGTATAGTATGTGCAGCCGAAGGGGATCAATCTCAGTGAATGGTAAGGTCCAGGTCTTTCTATATGCCTTTAAATTCAGAAGGTTTCTCCTAACTGGAAGGAGTGTTCCGAGGAAATTTTTGGCTGTATTCTGAATGAAGTTGCTGTGTTCTATTCAGGAGTGTAGAAGGCGATGGTTGCAAATAAATATGGAAGCTATCTGGGAGGTAACATCAGCCCATCTACCGTGTCTGAGTAATATCAACATCAAGAGTATGCTTGAGCATGTCGTTGAAAGGCATTCCTCTGCAGGTGACGTAAAGGTCAGCAATGTCATAATAGCCCTTACACACAAACAAGTATTCAGTGGCCTAGAGGCACATTAAGTCAAAAATAGAATAAAATGTAGATCACTCATCATAACTCCTGCAATTGCACTCAGGAAACCTAAGGATATAGATGTGTAGGAGGAAAAATAGCTACCGCTTGATGCTAGGTTATAGGGACACATAACAAGTTCAACAATGGCTGATATATATCTGCCACATCTGATATTATGTGATGAATAAGCACTTCCTTAGAGAAAAACATAAAGTGAAGGATTTACTATGAAACATGGAAATAGAGCCATCAGATTACACCCTGCACTGACCAAGTTGGCACAGATGTTCATTCTGGAAACAGGCAAGATAGAAAACATGAGCTATACCAGCAACTTGTGCGTCTATTACACACTCTATTGAGATTAATCAGCATTAGGTCTCCAACTTAATATGATGCTTACCTGAGCTATAATGAAAGTGGAGGCCATGAACCAGACTTATAATCATGATGATGCGGCAGTACAAATCAACCTTGTGTTAAGGAGATAGGTTATCATCCAAGAATATTCCTAGCAAATCCACAGGTGGCCTAGTTACTTCGTCATAGATTTTTTGCGATGAGAGGCTGATGATCATGCCAAAGAGGCAGATTAAGTGAATACAATACAGCGTGAAATAAATCACACCTACCATGATATCATCACTCTGTTGAATCATCAACAAAAGGGCATCCACCTTATATATTGTCACCTATCTTTCTGTTTAGGTGTGTATAGGCTTGTAGATGGGCTGGATATATGGTATAGGATGAGGAATGAGCAGGGCAGAGATCATACTTAGATAAAACTGCCTCAACTATATATTAATAGCTCATCTTTGGCATACTGTCCTTATAGGCAGCCATAGCCAATTACTTTCCTATATATGCTGGGTCTTATTTTTTCGCTGGATATCCTGTTGTGGAATCATTGGCTTGGTCTAGTGGTGTTGAATTTGATGCATAGATCTGACATTTCACTCACATACATGGGCACCACCTTTTCCAACTGTGAATTTTTGGCATTAGTATGCTATATAGCATTGATTGAGAGGGAGGGGCATGTATCCTCTCAGCTGCCCATCTTCATCATAGGCACCTGGTGTTAAGACCTTGCACAAAGGGTAGGACTGATTCTGAGGGGCTTGGCTTCAGCTCGTGTGCTGCGCTTCTTACCCAAGTATGTGTCCTTAATTTCAGAATGATGTCTAAAAAAAGTCTAAGGACATCCGAAGTGCAGGAATGTTTGGAGGGACTTTCCGGACAAGTGCTTCAGAAATTACAATGAGGTTTCGTCCTGATACAGATACATGTAATGGCTACTTAGGACAAGTCATAAGTAGAAGCAAACAGAGGAAAGGCTGCAAGGACAAAGTCCAAAGCAGAATAATAAATGCTTAATAACTTGATTCTTTCAAAGCCTGAGGTTTGAAGACCATTGGAAACATTTCATCAAATCCATTAATCTTGCCATTGAACTATTCTCCGATGTCTTCAGGTGTTGACAATATCCTCTTGCCCTCTTTGTCAATCTTCTAATTCCCTTCTATACATACATACACATACATTCATTTCAATGATGTTGTTATAGTTAACATTGCTCACATTAGTCTCTATTCTACTATCACTCATTTCCCTTGATCCTGACTCACTGACACATGATACTGTCATCTATTTATCCTCTTAGAACTGACATAGACCTAGAGCAGCCTATGGGCCCAGAGCGCCTCATGCTGCCTCATAATGCTCCTCCTTAGACCTAGACTGGTGCAAATATCATTACAATCAGCTTTCATATTGATCACATGCCCTAGTTGAGTTCACACAACAGTGCTCTCTGCGCATTGATTGGACTATAATTAAGGTATAAGGGCTTCCAAATCTACTTCATAACAAAAACACTGCCAGAAGTGGAAAATCGTTGTAATACAAGTTATTTGTCTTACTGAATATCTCTGTATCTTGTACTTTTGGAATTCTAATGCTATAGGGTTATGGATGCAATATTAGAGCTAATATACTCACCTGGATTGGTTTATTAGCAGTGTGATGACATTGAGAGCATTTGAATGTTAGTTCAGTGACCTTTACTTGCCCTATGTACTTATCTGAAGAGCAATCAATATATCTATAATCGCCCAGACCCTTACTGATATACACTAGGATAGGATAAGTTTCCTGAGTGCACCTTCAAATATAGATTTTGCTAGCACTATATCAGCTACAGGTGGGGTCTGTGTCTTGGCTGAACAATTTGCTGCTACTGATACCTTAGGCAGTCCACATTCTATGTGCCTCTCACCTGTTACATGGGTAATGTTCTTGATGCATTTGTTGGTAAGGTGAGGCAAGAGGGGCTAAAAGGTATAATATCAAAGTGGCACTCTACACATCTTGAACTTCACATTGCCCTTGCACTACTACACGGCAGTGCATTCACTATGGTACATCAGAAGATTGCCTTGAAGAAGATGAAGAGAATATAGACTCAGTTCAAAGACAAAAAGGTTGACAGAAAGTTTCAAATGTGTAAACTCTTTATTTCAATGTCCTTCATGTATTCATGCATATGTCACACAGAATATAATAACATCCAAAATGTAATATAAAGAGATGGAGAAGATATGTATGGTAGTATATTTAAATATATGAAAAACACCAATAACATGATTGATACTTTGCTCATAAGTATGAGGCAAGTGAGGTCAAAGTCAAACATGTCAGCATAAGACACTGGCTACAGGTAAATCACAGCAATTCTATATCAGATAATGGGACAGGAACACTCATATGGCAGAAAACAATGTGTCTGATAGTAACATACTTGTAAAGTAAATAACCAAATCTGCTGTTTAAGGACTTTTAATATGAGGGGCTCAAGAGAAGGGAAAAATGTTTCCAACTCAGAGCAGACCCAAGCTGCATAAGCTTCAGTACCCAATGTCCAGTGACTTTTGAATGCGGTGAGCATGTGGTGACAAACAAATCTCTTTTATGTGACTGGTAAACCACCTCTTACACTTTTCGCCCCATTCACTGGACCAATTTTTATTTTCTTCCAAAGGTCAAGAGCAGGCCAGATGCTGCCACAGTCAGTTAGATCCAATAGAAGAAATATGTCTTCATCACTAATGCAGTCTTCCACCAGTGCATCATGAGCTTTGCAATGGTTAAGATTTAAAGTCTCGCTCGACAGCCCCAAAATGGCAGACACAAAAAGTTGGGATGATCTGTAATGCAGCACAATGTGCCACAAGATACCACTCATTATGAAGAAACAACATGCATGGGGGAGTTGAAGGAGGGTATGGACATTGCTTGCATAATCAACAAAAAATGAAGTGCCTACCATTAAAAGTCAGGAAGTTACCTGAAGATTGGCAGGGGTCAAGTTAGAGGGTTGGATAGTCAGCATGAATGATGCAGAGAAACTCTCCAATCTATTCCAAGCAAAAGACACTGGTAGGCTAAGAACCAGATAGGTATCTGAGGGTGCTGAATGCACCATAACACAAGCCTTGCTTGAGTCTTTTCTGAAACCACCAACATTCTTTGGGTTACAAAGGTCAAAGTGTTTGGGAGGGGTATCTATTGTGTTTTAGGGTTATCTGCAGCTTACAGTGGATTGCAAAGACAGACAAGGGTTTGAATGGATAGAGGTTCTGGCTCACTAGCGAGTGAAGTGACTGGAATAAAAATGATTAGAAGGTTGTAATCTGAATGTTGCTGCTAAGACTTGCCATTCCCTTCCACAGACTTGTCATATATCAATAATCTGTCACCCATAGGTTCTGGGAAGAGTTTGGAGGGACAATAATCCAAGACTTCTCAGATTAAATCAGCCCAGTCAGTAATATCTGTCAGGATTGTGTTGGAGTCATAGGTAATAAAAACATGTTAGTTGTGAGTTTCACCATTGAAGTAAGGAATTTACCTGCCCTCCAGAAGCTATATTCAGTAAGAGGTCCTTGCATGACTAAGTTTGCATTAGGAGAGCAAAATTAGACAAAAAGTACAACTGTTAAGAACGTGCTCAAGGGTCGGATCCGAAGGGCTTGGCTTCAGCTCGTGTGCTGCGCCCCTTACCCGAGTATGTGCCCCTAACTTCCGAAGGCTGCCGAACAATGTCCGAAGGTTACCGGACAATGTCCAAAGGGCGTCGGGTGATGTCCGATGTGCAGGAAATCCGGTGGATGTTCGGGAACAAGAGATCAGACTAATCCGGACGAAGTCCGAACTAGAAAGAAAACAGTGGAGGACTACCAAAGGTAGAGGCGGAGGTGATAAGTCTATAGGAGTCAATCCTAAGTCTAGCGGAGGACGACGAGAGGAGAACTCAAGTCGGACGGAGGAGGGAATGAGCAGAGTCTAAGATAATATTCGAACTAAGGATGTACATAGATTCCACAGGGTTTATATACTACTGAGGATTTAATGGAGAGTAAGCCAGCACAGTCCGAAGCTATGCGAGGCTGTGGACGGAGGATATAGAAAAGTCAAACACTAGTCTATTGGAAAATAGTAAATGAATCCGGAGATTAGACAGAGGAAAATAAAGGCGGAAATGAAATGAGGTATGGAAAATGATATAGTCTAACTGGAGTAGGAACGTACAAAGGGATAAGGCACAGAAATTAGACGCAGGTCGGATCCGGATGTCCGGATGTCCGGAGATGAATGTGTGATAGGTCCGGGTCTGGAACGCGGGATATGACAACAACATACTAATGTAGAAATACAATAATTGCTGGACACTACACAAAGTGAGTACCTAGCAAAATATAAAGTGTTATTGTCTTACACAGTGTTAAGACCATGCACAAAGGGTAGGACTAATTCTGAGGGGCTTGGCTTCAGCTCATGTGCTGTGTCCCTTACCTGAGTATGTGCCCTTAACTTCAAAATAAAGTCCGGAGAAAGTCCAGTGAAGTCTGAAGGACTTCCAGAGGAGTGCAGGAAAGTTCTGGAAACATGGAGGAGCAAAGGAGCAGAGCTCTGGCCTAGGAAATTCCTCCCTAGGCCTGAGATGAATATTGACTAAGTTGGAGGACTAGAACTGATGTGAGGATTTAGTGTGAGATCTAGTGCGAGGACTAATATGATACTCAGACTGGGGAAATACAGGAGTATCTACAGGAGTTTATATGCTGGAGGTAAGTCTGTGCAGATCAGTAAGCAGAGGGGTAAGGCAATGTATGAGCATGTAGAAATGTATTAGGAATGTAGCGAATGTTGGATTACTGTCGGTGTTTTCGGAGTGTTTCAGATAAAAAAAAGGATGATATTGCGGAATTCAGCTAAGAACTACTAATATCAGATGACCTCCTCCTACTCAGAGGTAGAAAAGTAAGATAAGTAATAGGTAGGAGGTATGTGAAATATAGTGTCTATGTAGAATTTCGGAGTGCTATAGGTGAAAGTAGTAGTGATAATTTTTGGGTCTGATGTCCTATGTAATAAGACATATAGTACTGCAGACATGTAATAACATGGTTTACAATGTTAGCGACATCGAAATGAATAACTGTGCACCTAGTGAGGATAGATATAACAGAACATGACATAGGGAGGACATTTTCCAATAGGCCGATGTGAAACCTAATGTCCAATGTGAAACCCAATGAACCCGATGTTCAGATCCAATGAATGTCTGATAATCTGATAATCTGATGTCTGATGTTTGTCAGATTTGATATGTGCTGCTGAAGCAATGTGTAGCAGTTGACCTGCATTGTACAATAACATGATATGGGCCCAACATGAGTTTGAGTGCTACACTGAGCTATGTAAGTCTGTCTGCCAAAGATGGCAAAGGGGTGTCACAGATATCCACTAATTGTTAAGGTCCTAGGATCATAGGATCGGATCTGAAGGACTTCAGCCTCAGCTCGTATGCTGTGCCCTTTTCCCAAGTACTGTCTCTTATTTCAGAGGCTAACAATAACACGTCCAGAGGGTCGGATGAGTCTCGTAGTGTTATCCGGATGACTTCTGGATATTGGAAACACGTATAAGGCGAATCCGGACAAGTCCAAACTAGAAACAAACAGAGGATAGACTATTGGAATCGATCTGAAGTCTCAGAGATTGACAAAAGCTGATTAGACTCAAGTCCAGAGGACAGAAAGAGGACAAACTAAGATGATATTCAAACTCAGGTACTACCGGACATATACATGAGTTTATATACTAAGAGATAACAGAAAGATCAGTAAGCAAGAGTCCGAGGCTATGTATGAAGTGTAAGCAAAGTTTATCAAACACAAGTCGGAAATGAAGCATCAGTTAACGGATCAGTAAGTATAACCGGTAGTAAGTATAACCGAGATACTGGGAGTAAAGAAACACCGAATAAAAGAATAGGCTGTGTTGAATGTTATATGAATAGTAAATGAATTAAGAAGCTTATCATTTATCAGATCGGAAATGGATCTAACGGATCAAATCTAAGGTCCGAGGTCTGGATGAGAAGCGTAGATATATGGGATATGACACTAATAGCAAAGCTGCAGGATCCAGCCAATGTATGCAGCCAACTGTCCAAAGAGTTTATGGTCAATGGAAGAACTGCAGTATGCCTAAAATACAATATTGAGCCAGGAAATTGTAACCTTTATGGTAGTCTCAAGGTTTTCAAGGAATGAGAAGATAATCCACTGTTACACCCATGAGTTGAAGTGAATAACTCTGAAGGTGATACAGAGTCTTCAAAAACCCATGTCTTTGCATCGTACTAGCAGAAAATGAGTCTGCTACTGCAATATATGTGTATCAGAGGCTGCTAGCCAGCCAATAATCTGGTTTCTAAGTGTATTCACACTCGTCAAAGTTGCCAGTAGACTGTAATGACCTTGGAATAACCAGGGGATCATTGATGAGTTTGATGACAATGTTGCTATTGAGTGAGTACAATAGTGTTTGATTGGGCAATGTCTTGTGCCTTGGGTTGAGAAACTCAGAGGTAATGGAGGCAAGGTTTAAACCCCAGCCATAGGCATGATAATTGAGGTTGAGTTGTAAGGACTTGCGTGTTCTACAATGTGTAAGGCAATGGAAATAGAAATAGAAATATCACTTACTAAATTGAGAACCATTGATGTGTCCTAAGATAGAATGCATCATCATTAATAAGGGCTATATGAGAGTGCTAACTAGACTTGAATGTTTGTAGGTACCAGTCATACAAAGCTTTGTTGATAAAGACCTATAAGCAAATAAAGGTGAACGAAGTGATAATGCTTTAGTATCAATCTTACTTTAGATGAGTTGAAGTGACATATTTCTAACCCTTCCTTAGATCTAGCCTGAGAAAGTGTGACATAGGCCTATCCTATTTGCATGTTAATATCTGACTCATGGGTGATGTCACTGGACTGACTATCTGCAAGCATTTGTGAAGATCAACTATGACCTTATTGAGAGTTTGGCTCTGGCTTTTATGGATGGTGAGTGCCCATGCAAGACCTAAAGGTACCTAGGTGCATTAGAATTGAGCAATGATACAGAGTGGATTGACCTAACAAACCTGAATATGCCTGGCCACAGTCTTGTTCTTGATTTTAAAAGATCATTCAATGGGCATCACCAGCATGTACTCCAGCCCTTCACCAGTGGTGAACCTGACTAGAGGATATAGGTCATGGATATCACAAAGCTCAGCATGAGAGGAAATAATGCATTCAAGAGAATAGTCATTAGTGTCAACCTTGATATTACATAGTAGTCCAGCTTTATGGCCAATATAATGGCAATTAACTTGCCCAGGTCTAAAAAAATCCAACAATGTGGCTTGTAGAGCCATTAGTAATACCATCACCTAGGTTTTGAAGTAACATAACTTGGGCTCCAATTTGGAGACAAACTCGAGTATCAACAGGGAATTCTTTAAAGACTGCCTTGTCCTGCTTATTGATAATATATGGATGATCACAGCTGATTTTTTTCTCCTAAAGTGCAAGATCATTAAGGTGATACATAGCTTGATTGAACTAATCTGATTCAGCTGTGTGCTCATTATGAGCCATCTGGAATTGTCAATGCCATAAACAGCATAAGTGATAAACTCTTCAGTGTTGGTGAAATTGAATGGGTGATTTGTGGTGTAGTTGATTGCTCTCAGGCGCTGGCCAACATGTCAATGAGATTGGTGCTAGTTGCACATACAGACAAGGTATTGAATGGACTTTGAATGATTGCAGCATTCACTAATACAGATTGAATGTATTGATTTATAGCAGGTGGTGGTATTCCCTCAATGTCTGAGTTATAAACTTGTACCAATGACAGTGTGTCTAAGTTGTGTGGTACCACAAGTGTAAGATCAATGCATACTTCAGCAGACTCAGATCATTGATTGCATCCTTCCTACAACTTTGGCTATATGTTTATTGCATTAGCATGCATATATACATCATGTTATTGGTCCTGTGGCAACATAGTATCTAATGACTGCATTCAATAAGCAGGTATGGACTCCAGAGGAACTAGGTGAGTTGCTGGCATCATAAAATGGACATAATTGTGCTGGTGTCCAAGGCCAAATAATACGTCAGGATGGCCTCAATGTGCTTGTCTGGATGCTCAGTGACTATCTCAACAGTACAGGATTACTAGGAGTACTTTGAAAAGCATTAGATGAGGTCTCATTAAGACAATTTTTGGCTCTTTGCAATATTGGCAACTATTTACCTGATTATCATTAAATATTTGCCTTTCTGGATGATAATCCACCATCAGTAAATGTGCATCAAAGTCCAATGAGTCGTTGTACTGTGTAAAAAATAGATAACCATGTTTTTCTGCAGAAATTGCTATGACCGTATCCAGGTGGAATACCAATCTGAATTTCAATATTGTATTTGGCCATCATTATAAATGAGCTATGACAGTGATACTACCATATACTGATGGTTTGTACAATCAGGCATGATAGCACCACATAATTATTACCTCACTGGCACACTCTTTGACACAGAAGTACCATTGATTAGTCTGGTTATCACTTGGAAGGACAGCCACACAACAATCCTCCCAGCCATTTATGACGATGGAGCTGTGGACATTCCAATTATCTAGTATCTGGCCAAATGTCCAGAATCTGCACCTTGTTCACAATATGTAACACATTTATCAAATGCTGACATTCTACTGCATATCATTGAGGACATGGTCAGCTCAGCACTTGGTTGAAATCAACCACTTGTCATTAGAGGGACCGGGCAATATCCTGTTGGTAAAGAGTTGATGATGGATTTTCTCGACCAACACTACAACACCAAGTCCCACACAATAGATCATATGAAGGTCACGATGTCTTAATAACCAAGGGTCTTATATAAAGTGTGTAAGAATGTAATGACACCACAATTACACTTGGATAAGACTTCTTGCCAGTCCTCGATTAACACGGTCTACGACTTTTCTAGTTTTTGTGGTAGATAATGTGTGAGTTCTTGGGAGGCTCACTAAACCAATCAGGTGATCAACTTAGGTGGAGCTTTTTAGATGTACCTCCAATTGCTTTGTCTAGGATTTGCTACCTAGATTCTGAACTGTGGTCTGAAGTACGAATAGCTTTGCCTACATTGCACGTTCTAGGCACTGAAATAAACTGGGTAGATTTGACCAAGGCACAAGTTGGTCAAATAGGCACAAGTAGTAGAGAGACAAAGGGGTCTCTGAAATATCACGTTGACCAAAAACTGGTTGGTCAAATAGGCACAAATAGTACAGGTGAGACAACGGTCTCAATAATAATCGCGTTGACCAAGGCACGAGTTGGTCAAATATACAGTAACATAAGCTTCTTATTGTAAGAAACTTGTATTCTCAAGGGATACGTTTCCCCGCACTTGTTCTGCTACAAGTAGGAGATCTTGACAAGTGAGATGTCTTGTTCAACTGAGGGGTTTCTCTGGGAAGAAAATTTCCTAGAAGAGGGATCTCTATTTTTGGGAGGAGAATGGGCTCTCCTTATATACATTTTGTGTGGGAAAGTAATGTAGGTTCACAAACAATAAAATAAAGAGAGAACCAATCAGAATATTGGGTGAAACCCAATAAAAGTATAAAATACAAATAAAAGATGGAGCAATGACATCATAGTGGAGCTAGAATATTCTGGAGCCTATGACATCATTATGACTTCATACATTACATCATAATTTCCAACAGAATAGTCTAGAACTTTCTGTGGAGCTATATGACATCATTATGACATCATACTCAGAAGTAATATTTTCTAGAGTATCTGATAGGTCATAGCATCCTAAATAAAAGAAAATAAAAGAACAATGCTAGAGAAAACAAGATAGAAACAATGATACAAATACAATATGCAAGACACGGACTTTTTAGATAGGTTTTTGTTAGGCTTTGAGCTTTTCTTGATGGTTTTCTCTAGCCAAAGTGAATAAGCCAAAGGTAGGCAATACCTTAACCTTCATTTTACTTCACATATTAACTAGGTCATTCTGAGATTCCCATTTCACATATGACTTTTTCTTCTTCTTCCATATAAACTTGAAATATAGGACCAAGGTTTGATACCAAGGTATGGGGTGACTAGTCTGAGGACTGTGCTAACAGACATAATCTTTTGAGGGTTATTCCTAGTAGTAGTTATGTCCATGCATGATTCCCATATCATGCAGGACAACGATAGCAGGCATCCTCAAATCATTTTGTGAATCTATGAAAAATTCACATACAATACAATCTGTGTTGGATATTCCTGTTGCTCAGACATCAGTGCCAGATCAATTAAGATGTGTTTTACATATCCAGAACATTTAAATCATGGTCTCGCTCATGGATGGAACAACACTACATACAAAATTCAAATCAAATTAAATGTCCATCTGGAAAACTTCACTGTGAAGGGTTGTGGTCTACTCCACCATGCTGGATTCTTGACCTACCCCCACTATGATGCTGAGGGGAGCCTAAACACCTCAAAGAGGGACGATGCTTTAACTATCACCAAGTAGGGCATCGCGCCAATGACATGACATTCCACCCGCATGAGGAAAGGAAGCAGAAAGCTCCCATTCGCAGGAAGATGGAGAAAGGGAAAGAAAAGGAAGAAGAAGAGAGCAGCGGTGACGAAGTCGAAAACTGTTGCTTCGTGGAAAGGGATTTTTAGAAAGGAAGGCTGTCTCAATGTCAGTACTTCCCATTCCTATACAACTTGTACAATCACTTGGAAATAAAAAGGAACTCAGAGTTCCTGCCTCTCTTATTTCCAGAAAGCGTATGAAAACCATCAAAACATCCATGGTCGTAGACACCAGGGCATTGGGAACGTTCATCAGTGATGCTTTTTGCAAGTTACAGAAGATCAAAACCCACAAACTTTCCAAACCATTCCTAGTCATTACTGCAGATGGATCAGATGCCGCTGGTGGCCTTATATCTTGATACTGTATCCTTACAGTTAAAATTGATGGGAGGACCATGACTGGAGAATTTAACATAGCCAGACTTGCCAAACATGACAAAATCCTGCTAGGATTCCTCTGGCTCAAAGCACTAAATCCAGACATCAATTGGGTAAAAGGAACATTATCACTCCCAGCCACAGAAAGATCTCTGGCCATTGAACAAAACATCAACCAAAGCCGTAAACACAACAAGCTCCCTCCACTCTTCTCATGAAAGGAACCCATCGCACCAGTAGAAAACTCTCATACATGGAAAGACTCCAAACTGAGAAAGATGACACAGGCAAAGGTAGTTACTGTTGAAACCCCCCTCACTTCTGTGGTCGCTTCCATTGAAGAAGTCCTTGACGAAGAAGATGTTCCTTCTCTTATGCCCAATCAAGATGAAGATCAACCAGATTATGACATACAGAAGGACGTATGGTCTAAAAATTTTGCCCCTTCAGTAACAGATGCCTCTACCTATGAATTATCCGACGATGAAGTCCTTATCAAGTATGCCATTGACGGTTCACAAGTATGAGTAATCGAAGATGTCTCATTCAACATCCCGCTTACCCATGATGGAACTTCTAAGATGGAGCAAGGATATGGTAAAGTTAGTAATAAGGCCCAGGAATTCGCTATAGCAGGAGAAATTGAAAAAAAACAAGAACTTCAAGGAACTTGTTCCCCCTTGCCTCCATACCTATGCCGATGTCTTCGCCAAAGACGGCCTTAACAAACTTCCCCCAGAACAACCAGAAATAGATCATCGCATCGATCTGAAATCTATCCCCTGTCAGGCAAAGAGTGAGAAGCGGTCAAATTATTTCTCAAAGAAAACACAAAAAAGGATTTATAACCCCATCGAAATTCCTGCAAGCAAGTGGTTTCTTCTTTGTAGGAAAAAAGAGCAGAGAGCTACACCCTTGTCAAGACTATCACTACCTGAATGACTGGACCATACGCAATCAATATCTACTCTCCCGAAATCCCTTATTGAACGTCTTTACAACGTGCAATACTTCACTAAGATAGATGTCTGGTTGGGTTATAACAACATCAGGATCCATCCTAGCGATAGGTGGAAGGCAGTGTTTACCACTGAAGAAGGATTATATGAACCCACTGTCATGTTCTTCAGCCTCATGAATTCTCCTGCCACCTTCCAAAGCTATATGAACAACCACTTTCAGCCGGAAATAAACCAGGGGTGGTTAGTCATTTACATGGATGACCTATTGATCTTCTCTAAAGATCTGAATGAGCACCGTAAATGAACAGAACAGGTCTTGGATATCTTGTGGAAGGAACAGTTATTCATCAAACCTGAGAAATGCATATTTGATACCAAAGAAGTAGAATACCTCAGTATGATCATCTGCCCAGGAGAGGTAGGCATGGAGCATGCAAAAGTCAGAGGAATCAAGCATTGGCCTATCCTCACTACAGTAAAGGAAACACACTCATTCCTTGGGTTCTGCAACTTATACTGCACATTTATTGCCTACTATTCTAACATTGCATGTCCCCTGATCGACCTAACAAAGAAAGACCATGTTTTCCAGTGGACCCCTGCATGCCAGGAGTC